ATCGGGAAGCCCCCCACCGACAGCCCCATTTGTTTTCGATCAAATGGCTTGTGAGCAAGTTCAGGCTCCTTCTCCAACTCGATGCGGTTGCTATAGGATCCGCCCAGTCCCAGGAAGTTCGGAGGCTGTTGCTCAACCCTCCTAGCTTTTTGAAGCAAGGGCTGGAGGTCCACAGCGACCTTGTCATTCGAGTGCAGTCCTTGTTAGGCCAACATGATCTCCTCGACCTCGCCGTCGGGGAATCCATCCTTTCCGACTTAGACGAGCACCTCGCGACCTTCGCTGTGAAGGCCAAATCGCAGGCGCTCGCTGAGTGGAAAGAGCGGCTTCTTCAGTCTATTGGCCAGGGCGCCAGGAGAGCTCACCAGCATGTCAGAGGCAGCCAGCCGTGGACCCCCACCACGACCCTCAGCAGGGATGGAGCTGTTGTCTCGGGCCCCCTGGCGCTGCTGGCTTCGGAGGCCCGTAAGTGCCCGTAAGTTCAGTAAGCTTTGGAGCGCCACTCCCGACCCCCCCCCCCCCGAAGGAGACCAAGTTCCAATTCGTTGAGCCCCTCCCCCGTCTCACTGCTGAAACCCTGGGTTCGGCTTCTAGGCGGTATTCCGCCCGCTCAGCCATTGGTGTTGACGGGTTCCACATGAAACATTTTGCCTCGCTCTCGGATGGGTCCCTGGATGTCCTGTGTACCATGTATTCCATCATGGAAGCGTCTGGGCTGGTTCCTGGGCAAACCTCCCTGGTTGTGCTTTCCCTCCTCCACAAACCCTCTGGTGGGTATCGGCCCATTGGCCTTTTCTGCAGCTCTCACCGCCTCTGGGGGCGGTGCCGCAGGCCCTATGCGGCCCAGTGGGAAAGCAAGTTTCAGCGCAGCTATTTTGCGGGAGCCCAGTTTTCTTCTGCGGTCGATGTTGTCTGGAGGCAGACTTTGCGAGCTGAAGGAGCTGTGGCCAGCAACCAGTCCAGTTGTACGGTTATGTGGGACCTCTACAAATGTTTCGAGTTGATGCACCTGGGCACGCTCCTTCAGCGCTGCCATCAGTATGAGTTCCCCGTCCAGTTAGCTCGGCTTGCTGTGCAAGGATATCGGCATGGCAGGTTCATTTCTCTTGGCGGCGTGGTCGTCGGCCCGTTCCATGTTACCAACGGCGTTGTCGCCGGCTGTGGGTTTGCAACCACCATGGTGCGCATTAATGCTATTCCTGCACTCGGCGCGTTGCAGCTGCCACCAGGTATTATGCTCGACGTTTACATTGACGATTACGGTCTCAGCTGCAACGGGTCCAATGCCTACATTCTCGGGCACCTCCTTGAGGCCGCAGCCAACCTCAGGGATGCCATCGAGGTTGACATGGGGGCGGTCATTTCTCCTGATAAAGCTTCCCTCGTCGCCTCGTCGGACGCGCTCGCCATGCAAGTCGGGGACTGTCTGGGCGGCCTCGCGGGGCCCATTATCCAAGGGACCGTCAACTTGGGCATTGACTTTGCCCCAGGGCCCTCCCAACGGCTCCCAGGCAGGGGGGGAAAGTTTTCTGACCGCAAGCGGGTTTTCAACAAAAAAGTCAGGAGGCTCAAGCGAGCTAAGCGGCCCCTCGGGCGGCACGCTGCCAAAGTCTGTACTGCTGGCCCCCCCCCTAGCTTCACGTTCGGGTCTGAGGTTCATGGGCTCTCGGATTTTGAATGGCACATATTGCAGGTCGCTGCCGCCAGTACTATGCAGCCATCTGCCAAGATGAGGTCACGGACCTCTGCCCTGATTTGGTCCCAGGACCCGACCTGGTACCCTGCGGCGGCGCCCATCGTGAGGTGCTCCAAGGAGATTTGTGCCAGCCAAACCAAGCTCTTTCCCTTTGTTAGCCCGTGGGCTGAGCTGAGGGACGCTTGGAGATGAGTGTGTGTTTCCCCTGGGCCCAAAACCTGGCGTGGGGCCCGTGGGCCTCTGGGGGGCATGAAGCTGGCTTTGAAGAGGATCTCTTGGAGCATGCTTAACTACTGCACCCTGTTGGACGATTTTGGAACTGAGGTTTCGCTTACGGTCACGCCCCCAGCTCTTCTTAAGAAGCTTTTGAAGGCAGCTGTTCAGAGGACGCATGAGAAGTCCAGCGGCGCTGCTCTGCTCCCGCGCATTCCAGGAGCTCGAGTTTGCCATGATGTTGTTGCTGCTACGCTCCGCTCCAAGAAGGGCACGCCGTACCAGCGAAGTCGTGCCAAGGCTGTTGCTTGTAATGCCACGTGGACTAGAACCAGAGCCGCTGAAGCAGGGTACGCTGTCAGCACGGTCTGCGAGCTTTGTGGGGTGCGCCAGATACCATGCTCCATCGGCTTTGGTTCTGCCCAGCGTGCCATGACAAGAGGGAGGCAGCGTTTGACAGTTTCAAGCCAAAGTGTTCCCTCCTGCCCCCGCCCGACCTCTCGCCCGAGAACAACGAAGAAGACCACTTGCTGTTTACGCGTGGCCTGTTTCGGCACCCAGGGGATGTGTTTCCTTTTCCTGCTCGTGATGGCGTTGAAGATACTGGCCTTGAGATTATCTGGGCCAACGACCGTTCCTCCAAATCGCTTAGTTTATCTGGGCACATCTTTGTGGACGGGTCCTGCGTTGCGCACCCTGTTAAAGAACTCTCCAGGGCTGGGTGGGGGATTGTGATGGTTAGTGACGAGGGAGACGAGATCTGTCGCATTAGTTGCCCCCTTTGGGCCCCCAACCTCCAGACTGCCCAGGGGGAGGAGGTTGGGGCTTACGCTGCTGCTGCAATGCGTGCCCAGCCAGGTAGTTCCATGTACTCCGATTGCAAGAATGTGGTAGTACAAGCCAATGAGCCGCTGCTCAAGACTCTGTCCTGCCAACGCGTGTATTCTGGCTTTTTGCCCCCCACCCACCGCAAGCTTTTAGAAGGGGCGTTTAAGGTCAAGGCGCATGTTGAAGATTCCTGCGACCCCACCGAGTTGGAGCGGTTTTGGAACCAAGGCAACGACCTTGCGGATCTGGTTGCCAAGAGCTCGCTTGCCCGCCACCCGCAACCCGACCCCGAGGATGTGGTTTGGCTCGAGGGATGCCTCTCGGTCGCCCAGTGTGTCATGCGTCTTTCTACCGAGCTGATGCCACAGTGGCCTCGGCTAAACTTGACAGGGGCCCCGCTTGTGCCCAAGCCCCTGCGGCCTAAGATAGAGCCGATGTCCCACCAGTGGACTCGGGTGTCTTCGTTTTGGCAGTGCATTGAATGTCTCAAGGTTGCTAAGGGCGTACCGCGGACGAACCCTGACGGGTCTCGGCCTGGGGGTCTCGACCCGCTTGCCCCAGGGGCGTGCCTTAGAGATTCCAAGCTGACGTCTGCGGTGCTTTCAGCCCTCAGGCACAACTGCATCGCTTTGCTATGCTCCGACGGCGCTGCCCTCACTAGTTGTATGCGATGCTATGCCTATTCATCCCACGGGCAGCCTCGCAATTTGCTTAGACAATGTGACGGCCAACCACACAGTGCAGGCGCCAAGTCTGCATGGAGTTCTGTGGGGGCTGGACGCCACCCCAAGCGCAAAGGCGTTTCAGTCGAGGTTGGCCCCTGGTATGAAGATTTGGAGCAGGAGGAGCGGCCACGGCGTCTCACCGACCAAGAAAGGGAGCTGCGGACAGCCCAGCTGGTGCGGAGGCTCGTCACCGCAGCAGGGGGGCATCAGCCTCAGCGGGCGTGGGGCTGGAGGTGGATCCTCCACCGTCGGTACCGCCACAGGGGCAGCAGCACGATCGAGTCGTTGACCTTTCGTCCGTGTCGTTGTGCACCGTCGAAGCTGCTGCCCCTTCAGCTTTCCCTCTTGGACCGCGGGACGTGGAAGAGGAAGCAGTCTTTTCGTGGTTTGGCTTGCCTGGTGAGAGTCCCTCCCAGCAGGTCGTGCAGCAGGTGCCCGAACCAGCCTCCTCGGTTGGAGCGTTCGGCCGAGACCGAGTTGCCTCCGTCCTCGAAGAGGAAGTGGCCTCGCTCGTCGCCGTCGCTGCACCACAGTCTGACGACTCAGATTAGGAGATGCAGCATGCGTCCTCCGCGCGTGGTGCGTCTCGCCCAGACCTCATTCTCTTCTGGTCGTGGGCTTAGGGGGGCAGGCGGTGAGCCACAGGGGATCCTCCCTTCTTGCGGGAAATCGCCCCGTGGTTTTCGCGCTTGCCCTCCTTTCTTTGTTTCACTGCTCGCTGGCTTGCTTCAGGCCAGATAGCAGGGGGCGACGCCTGTTGATCGTCGCCCTGGGTTGCCACGGTTGATGTCAAAAAAAACTCCTCCTCCTCCTCCTCCTCCTCCTCCTCCTCCTCCTCCTCCTCCTCCTCCTCCTCCTCCTCCTCCTCCTCCTCCTCCTCCTCCTCCTCCTCCTCCCTCCTCCTCCTCCTCCTCCCCCCCCCTCCTCCTCCTCCTCCTCCCCTCCCTTCCTCCTCTCCTCTCTCCTCCTCCTCCTCCTCCTCCTCCTCCCTCCTCCTCCTCCTCCTCCTCCTCCTCCTCCTCCTCCTCCTCCTCCTCCTCCTCCTCCTCTCCTCCTCCCCTCCTCCTCCTCCTCCTCCTCCTCCTCCTCCTCCCCCCCCCCTCCTCCTCCCTCCTCCTCCTCCTCCTCCTCCTCCTCCTCCTCCTCTCCTCCTCCTCCTCCTCCTTCTCCTCCTCCTCCTCCCTCCTCCCCTCCTCCTCCTCCTCCTCCTCCTCCTCCTCCTCCTCCTCCTCCTCCTCCTCCTCCTCCTCCTCCCTCCTCCTCCTCCTCCTCCCTCCTCCTCTCCTCCTCCTCCTCCTCCTCCTCCTCCTCCTCATCATCATCATCATTCATCATCATCGTCATCATCATCATCATCATCATCATCATCATCATCATCATCATCATCATCATCATCATCATCATCATCATCATCTGTTTCTCCTCCTCCTTCCCTTCTCCTCCTTCCTCCTCGTCCCCCTGTTCCTCTCTCCTGCCCCCTTTTCCATCGTTTCCCTTCCCCCCCATCCCTCTTCCCTCCCCCGCCCGCCCGCGAGAAGGCGGCGCTCGCTGCCCTGGCGCAGGTGCGGAAGGCCGCCTCCAGGGTCTCGGCGGCCGCGCCGCCGCCGGCGCGGAAGTCGCGCGGGCCCGGGGACCTCGTGGAGCGGCGCGGCTCCTCACGACGACGACGCCGCCGCTGCCGACGACGACGACGACGACGACGACGACGAGGACGAGGATGACGACGACGACGACGACGACGACGACAACGACGACAAGGACTACGAAGACGAGGACGAGGACGACGACGATCTCCTGACCCTGCACTCTCCTGCGCAACCCCCGTTGCCGTTCCCCCGTCCTTCTCTTTCCCTCTGGTGCCGCCCCTACTTGCTGCACTCGCCTCGCGCAGCGGCTCTCCCCCTCGTCCTCCCTCCGCCTCTTCCCCGCCGCCTCCGCCTCCTTCGCCGCCGCAGCCTGCTCCTCCTCCTCCTCCTCCTCCTCCTCCTCCTTCTGCTACTGCTCCTCTTCCTCCTCCTCCTGCTGCTGCTTTTCCTCCTCCTCCTCCTCCTCATCATCATCATCATCATCCTTCTCCTCCGCCTCCTCCTCCTCCTCCTCCTCCTCCTCGGTCTGGCCCTCTTCTCCCCCCTCGGCCTGCTCCTCCCTGCGCCCTCCCGATCCTGCTCGCCAAATCTGCCTCTTCCCCGTCTCCGCCCCCCTCCCTCACTTCCTCCCCTGTCCTTGTCCAATCCCTCGTCCTCCCCCTCCACATCCCCCTGATCCTCCTTCTCATATCTTCTCATCCTCACTATTCTCCTCCTTCTCCTCCTTTCACTCTGCTTCTCCTCCTCATGTTCCCCTTCCTTCTCTTTGCCCTCCTCTTCCTCCCCGCCGTCCTCATGGGGGATGGGAGGAGAGTCTGATGTCATCAAGCACCGACCTCTTCTCGTTGAAGGGCGACCAGCCAGGGGAAGCTTACACGTCCAAGTACCACTCCAGCGACATCATCGAGACGCTCGAGGGCCTGAAGGACACCTTCATCGACCAGAAGAACTCCAGAGACAAGGACGAGTTCGAGGCCAATAGGATCTTCGAGCAGGAGAGGTCACCGAGGAAGAAACAATGGCATATCACAAGCTTTCGGAGGTCCGCGCGGATTTCTCGAATCCGCGCTGGACCCCTCTGGCGGCGTCTCTGGCGCCGCCCTTGGCGCGCTCCGCTCGCTTGGGGGGAGGGTCCAGCGCCGATCCGAGATGCGCGCGGACCGCCGTAATGGTGTGCTTGTGCAGTTATCTCGTCCTCTAGCTGGGCGCTGCTGGAAGCTCTCCTGGCCCAGGGTGTACCCAGGATGTCCAGGGAGGCCCCTCACGAGGCCCGGGAGGGCCCCGCACGAGGCCCCCCAGTCACCCCAGCGCGGAGCTGGCTCGCACTAAGGGTGGCCCGCATGAGTTGCTCCCAAACAGCGCACCTCTAGCCCCCCCCCCCCGAGTTAGGTTGGGCCTCCAGAACGACGCGAAGTTTGCCCAAATGGACAAGGACCAGAAAGAGGAGGAGTCGAGCAAGAAGGCCGCCCGCCAGGCGGAGGCGACCAAGGAGAGGGACCTCGAGGAGAGCATGAGGTCGCTAGACAGTTTCCCTCCTGCTCCTCCTCCCTCCCCTGCTCCCTCCTCCTCCTATCATCCGCCTCTTCATCCCTCCTCCTCCTGCTTCTCCTCCTCCTTCTCTTCCTCCTCCTCCTCTTCCCCATATCATCATATCCGCCTATCCTCCAGCATTGGCATTGTCATATTGTCATACTCATACTCACACTCAGATTCGTCCTCCTCCTCCTCCTCCTCCTCCTCCTCCTCCTCCTCCTCCTCCTCCTCCTCCTATCGTCCTCCCCCTCCTCCTCATCCCCCTCCTATCGTCCTCCCGTCCTCCTCCTCCTCCTCCTCCTCCTCCTCCCTCCGCCTCCGCTCCCTCCTCCTCCTTACGTGCTCATACCTCCTTCTTCTCCTCCACCTCCTCCCCCTCCTCCGATCCTCCTCCGATCCTCCTCCTCCTCCTCCTCCTCCTCCTCCTCCTCCTCCTCCTCCTCCTCCTCCTCCTCCTCCTCCTCCTCCTCATCCTCATCCCTTCTCTTCTTATTAGTCTTCTTAGTCTTATTATTATTCTTATTTTTCTTCTTCCTCCTCCAATCATCCTCCCCCCTCTTCCTCCTCCCTTCCTCCCTTGTCCTCCTCCTTCTCCTTCTCCGTCTTCTTCTCCAAGCCTGCTCCCGACTAAGGATCTCGACACGATTTGCGAGACGAGGATTGCATCAGAGGTTTACCCAACACCGGGCTCGACAACGCAGGTCTCGAGCAATCAAGCTAGCGGAACGAGACACGAGGAAGCTGTGAAACAACGAGTTCGCAACAGTGTTTGATTTACAGGACGGGGTGGCAGGAGTCGACAACAATGAATTCCACAAACTGCAGACCGATTAGTTGCGCTCTGCCAGGCCCAAATGCGCGACCCAAAGTATGTAGATATCTCGGCTTGGCTGTGCCTGGTGAGGGCAGGGTTAGGACCTGCGCTGACGTGGGCCACGGTGGTATCGGCATGGAGAGCTACGACCCAGGCCACTAGTCACTGCGAGCTTCGGGACCTGAAAGCCTGAGCTAAGCCCATGCTCGCCTCCCCTCCCTCCAACTGGCGTGCTGAGAAAGGCCCCTTTGGGGCCGCCTGCCTTCCCTTTTGCGAGGATAGGCTGGAGCTGTGTTTCTGTGTCTTCGGTCTAGGACGCGAGCGGGATCGAATATCCGCTCACGACCTGCACGCCAAAAGTGATGGCCCAGAACATGCAGGAAGCCTGGGACAGGCTGACTCTACAGAGAGCTGCTGCACAGTTAAGGATCTCCCCGGGAAGTCCTCGATGTCAAAGTGGCTAGATTCCTTTATAGTTGGAAGCAAGCTCGACACAGAAGCCAGGTCAGTTTTGATATGCTACATTTGGACGCATGCTCGGGTGATTTCTGCAGTCTACCATGTTTCACCAGAGTGCGAGTGCGGACACCCGCACGACAATGTGAAGCATCAACTGCTGGAGTGCTCAAGATAGCCGCACTGCGTGAGGAGTTTGTTTTTTCGAAGACGAGCTCGACCTGACTGCCGATGTCACTTGCCAAGCTTTGGCCGACGGTTTCCAGTTCACTCCGGAGTTTGACACAAGACCTCCGCCAGGATGCGGCTACGAAATTGTTCAGTTCTGGTGTCGTGACCCTTCCTTGCTTCCCTGTCGCCAACCAAAGCGTCTCAAGAGGAACGTTTCACAGGTGGCTCTTGCATGACACCAGACGGACATACCCTCTCTATATATATATATATATATATATATACATATATATATATATATATATATACATATATATATATATATACATATGATGCCGCTGGCTGGGCGCCAGTTGTTTTAGATGGCCACGGTGAGGTTTAGCGTATATGTCAGGGCGCGTGGGGCAGTCTCTCGTCCCCCGCCCCTCCTCCTGCCGAGCACCGCGGTGTGCCTGCTGCTGCGCTCCGCGCCGGCCCTGCACGCCCAGGCCTCTGCAGATCTGCCTGGGCGGCACAGAGATGCCCGCCCGCAGCCTGCCGCCAGCGGCAAGCTGTCTACGGCGCCGGCCGGGTGCTCGGATGGGGCCGCCCGCGCCCCCCACCGGCCCTCGGGCTCCACAGAAAATCGAAGCGCGCGTGGACTCGTAGGGCTGGCTCTGGCAGCGGGGAGTGTGGAGGCGCGCCAGAAGGGCAGCGCTGCAGCAGACCGGCTCGCCTCAGCCTGCTGCCGGGAGGAGCAGCCGGCCAGGTAGCCAGGAGACCGAGCTCGCCGATTCCCGGTCGAAGCTGCTCGCACAGGTTTTGGCGCTTCGCCTCCCAAGCCCTCCAGCTTTGGCCTGCAGCGGCCCCGCGAGCTGGAGGTAGCGCCGTCCAACGTTGAGCCCACCAGCTGGAGCAGCGCCAGCTGGACCGTCCTGGGGAGAGAACCCCCCTCCGCCTCCGAGCTCCCTTCCTCGTGCTCCGCGTGCAAGGCAAACCAGGACGGTCCATAGATGGCATACGGTAGGAGACCAGAAATGGATTCCTGGATTTCTGCGGCTT